GTCAAAATACTTGAAGTTTTCTCTCCACTGAGTCTAAACAATCAGATTCAAAAGCCCTACACTTTGTAACCCATTCAATGTCAAAGCTTGCAAAGTATGAAGGATTCTTCATTGCTTGATCAATTTGAAAAATACTACTTAGGATAACGGACAGTAAAAAAAAAAAGGAAATAAAAAAATGAGTTGTGACAACAACTAACCACATACATTTTTTTAATAATGCCCAATATTACCATAATTTCAGAGAGATTTATGTTTTCACTTGCTTTCCCCTAGGTATATCATTACTTTGTGCAAAGAAACAGTCCTAACCAAACAGCTGAGAGGACACTGCAGTGATCAGATAAAACCAGATTAATTCTGTGATGTTTGTCAACTCCTATTTTTTACCAATAACAAATTATTAACTTTGTAGGGACTAAGATAATCTGAACTATCAAATACAGATGAGACATACTTGAGGTTCTACATGGCTTTGTAGACAAAAACCTGTTCTCTCTGTTTGCTTGTCCGAGACTACCCTTTTAAAGCAGCTCCGCACCCCTTTATGAGTGCCTTATCAGCAGATGAATAGGGACAAGAAAGACTATTCTGTCACTTGGTCATGGGAATGTAGTTGTTCTTCACCTTTCAAAAGTCATTCATGGTGCAGCAGAGGGAAAATTTTGTGTACACCCTCCTGCTTTGGATATATCTCTTAAAAGGCCAATAAAATACCCAGAAGAGCCATCACATTCGTGTAGCTGCTAGCGCTGGCACACCACATAGTAGTGGCACATATGAAGGTCTAGCATAGGGCCAACACCTTCTCTTGAGGTCATTTCCCACAAATGCCATTTCACTGCTCATACCTACCCCTCTCTACTCCAAAGTTGGACTTTAGGTATTCATAAGAATGAACCCAGAACCATAGAAAAAGAAACCAGAAGATACGTAAACAGTGCTGGCACACTACATCCAGTGGTGAACAAAAGCACATGTACACAGGAACCAGTACATTACAGCACACATGTATGTACAAATGGTGTCTGGAGAGGACATAATGTTTTTTACCACCTTCACCTACACCAGTATGTGTTTTGACTTTATTTTGATTCATAGGGTCTGTTATAATTTGCATGCCTATCTAGACTTTCAGAATCAGAGATGTGTGACCTCCCTCCCACCCTTACGTACACACATGCACAAATGTGCATGTTTTAGTCATCTTCCTGTTATACAGATTTTTAATAACATTTTTATACCGCTATATTTCTGCACGAGAATCAGGCAAATATACGGAAGTCAGGATGTAAAAGCCTTTATTAGAGCTGTGCCAATTCACATCAGGTAAGGAGATGGATGCTAATAAATGGAAAAGCAGCTGATCTTACACAAATATTTGGGCAGAACTGGGAAGAATGGGAGTCTGCACCACTTTTGGCACTCAGGTGGTGGCAAGACTCAAAAAACAAATTATTATCCTGCTTATAATTGCAGTTGCCAGTATACAGGAATTACAACTCACTGCCTCATTTCTCCCACTTTTCCTTCAAAGTCTCTTAGTGCTGCTACCTGTCTGTCATGTTGTACATCCAGGCATGGAAAGAACAGGGAAGGAAGCTGGGGTGAAGGTGAGGGACTGGGAAATACAGCTGGGTGGCAAAAGGATGAAAAGAGAAGAAAAATTAAGTGCTCCTAAAGCAGAGGTTCTTACAAGCGGGGGTTCTTGTAGTAAAGGGAGTCTCCTTACTGTCATCTAAAAAGTCTTCTTCCTCATCCTCCTTTCTCAGGCGCCTCTTGGTCTCCTCATCATAAATGAGGCCCAGCAGGTTGGCAGGGCTCTCGCTCTCAGCGTGGCACAGCTCATTGAGACGGACACCGATTGCCTGCAGACACGGAGAAAGAGAAAGCACAAGGAGGTGAGAATTTCAGCCTAACTCACTGGTGGTCAAAGGCTCTGCCCCGTGAAGGCTGTGGGCACGTTCCAGCCAGAACAGAATGTCCTCACTTAGCTTTTATTACCTGCAAAGTTCAGTAAAGTAGAAAAAGGATGACAGAAGATTAATGGCTACCAAAACCGTAACTTATTTCCCTCCTTTTTTCAACCAAAATTTGCAACGAGTGTCAAATTCCAGGATGAAAAAACTTTGCAAATTTGGTTAAATAAAACAAAAAAGCCAAACTGGCACATGATAGGCAGGAGGAGATTAGGTCATGATTTTGTAAGAATTTCTTCTACATTTCCTTCTCCCCTCGATATATGTGTTCCAGATTTTTGCTAACTCTTTCCACAGAGAAAGTATGTCTTCTGTTTAAGAAACTGTCCTGTGACTTAGGAATCCAGTAACAGTCACTGCTTCCTCCATAAAACCGTGCAATGCCCTTAGGGAAGCCTGCTTCCATCTTTAAAGGGGAAGCTCCCTGATACACTTCCTAAAAATGAGCTGACGATAAGCTTATAAAAGCTGGGAAGGTGCATGGGTAATGGTGTAGAGGGGATCCACGTAAAGAACACGGGCAGACAGATTTCCACTGAATACCGTTACACACTCCAGAAAGGCATTGATCATTTATTCATGGCTGCTTGCCAGCATCATTATCAGCATGTAAACAGCCCTCATGGTGCTGTCAGCAAAGCTACAGATAAGGATTTATTAGCAAGAAGAATGCCTTCCTGCTAAGAGACTTCAGAGCTTTTAAGGGTTTTTCTTGATTTTCTTTGCTGCAGGTAGGTGAAGAGAACACAGACCAGTATGTGAAACTCTATCCTGTGATGTCATCACTTTGTGAGGGAGGAAATGTGTTTCATTACAGAGTTTTCATCAGCACTTGCCATTTGGGACTTTTTGGTTTTGGGACAGTTTCAGAGAAAGATACTAAAGAGGATTTCTTAATCTTCTACAAGTTGGAACTGATGGTCATGTCAGCGCGATATAATTTTCCTGTCTCAGCTGAAGTGCCACAGAAATACATGACCAGTCACTTATTACAACTGTTCTTCCTTGCTACTGAGCAGTTCCTGAGAAATCCAGCAACACTGAAGAGGGTAGACTCTGCTACACAAAGAGAAAAAGGTGGTGGTGTGGTTTGCAAGCTGATGCAAATAGTTGCCAATCTCAGCTATCTGAGAGCCTGCGTATTGCTAAATAAACTCCGTATTTCTCACAATTTTTCTCCCCTTTCCTGTTTCAGGCATTTAAAGGAAGAAATGTTCTGTATGCCTCTCCACAGAGCAGTAATATATCACATATTATTTACGCTGCGTTGTCCACCCTAATATTAAAGCAATCATACATAATCCCGCAGCTTTCTTCCTCATGAGCACTGAATTCCTAATGTATTATGTGCATGAATTATGCTTGGTTTTCCTAGCAAACGGAGAGCATGCCACACGTTAAAAGAAAATGCCTCTTAAAAGAAGCAGCCAAAGGAAGTGACAGACTAACCTGATCAGAATAGATTTAATGTTGTATTGTTTCAAAAGACAGCATAACAAGTGAGACAGCTTGATTCAATAGGTTTATTTCTGTTACAGGCAGTCCAAATCCCACCTCATGTGGAAAGGGTTTAAAACTGTTACTCTCTGATAGCTATTAAGGAGGCTGAATTAAAGGAGTTGGGTGGGGAAAAAAAGGTTTTACATTCATTCTTGGTCTCACTAAACTTTGACAATAGCCCTGTATATCACAATTCGTGAGCAATGACAAACAAGCAAGGATCCATAATTAGCATTAATTTCCAGCCTTATTTATTGCAATAAAAAAACAGAACAAGGCTTCAGTGCACTCAGAGACTAATATATTCTTTTTTTCTTTATTCAAGAATCTTCCTTCCAGAGCAGCAAGCAGCTCTGCTGCCACCAAGCAGCAAGGACGGTGTGCTGTGGCGTTGATAAGGATCTGGTAGTGTGGAGGCAGAGTGTGGGTGACGTATCACATCTCCTTGGTACTGGAGCTGCTTAGGAGCTACATGAGTGCACCGTGATTCCACCCTTCATGCTGCTATTGCTCACGGTGAAGTGAGCAGGTTAACACACAGAAATGGCAGCATATTCTACAGCAGGTGCCTGTACTACAGGAAGAGAAAGCTGTTTCTCCTCATGGTTCAGCCTGCCTGGTTGGAAACTGGTCAGAGCCAACAAAAGCAGCCACCTGAGGATCACAGCTTGCAGGGTCCCAGCCCTCCAGGCTTGGCTGGAGGCTGCTGCTTATGCTTGCAGCCAGCTTCGTCTGAAACAGCTTCTGGGAGGACAAGCAGTGTCAGAGGACATGTCTTGCCCAGCATTCAGTATAAAGGATGTAAAGGAACCGCACCTCAGCAGTGCTAGGTGTCCACCAATCCTGAAGCAAGAGCCTGGTTGGGGGCCAGCAATGCTGTGGGTAACTATACTGTCCTAATCTCCAGTGAGAAGAAACAGAAAAAGTAATGAGCAGCAGGACACCTTGCAGTAAAAAGAGAAGAAATTTGCACTGTGAAGACTACTCTTCAAATCTTCTCCTGCCTTACAGTAAAGTAAAAGTAAGGCTTTTTTCCTTCTGGGATGTTCCTAAGCAGCTAGCAAATACAGGCTACTCCTAGAATGGGGAGTGCATCTAGGTAAGTCTTATGATGCCATTATATTTAAGGGGAAGAGAATTATGCTAAACTGCCTACCATCAGATTTTCCTGGCTCCTTTCTTGTGACCTTGCGTCATGCAGTGGTACTTTAACATTTCAAAAAGAAAAGCTTCCTGGACTTTTTCCAGCTCAGGCTATTTCAGTTTCTAAAAATGCCAGCTGAGGGAGAAGCTAACTTCTAATAGTTACTGACTTGCTTGGTCCCATTTTTGTCAGAATCCGGAAAAAAGGAATGTCTACAAATCATAGAGTCCACAAACAGAGGTGGATAGTCCTGACTGTCAGCAAAGCATGCAAGAATACAAGGACTATATAATCCTATGTTCTCTACCTGGAAGGAGCTCTCAAAGGAGTCAGGCTAGGAGTTAGGTGGTGACCTTATGGAATATAGAAGCAAATATATTCACACCAGGAACTTTTCCAAGGAACTTTGGTATTTGTGCTGTTATTAAGATAGTCACCTGTGTTTGAGACATAACAGAGAGTAGGGTGGCCAGGTAGCATTCCCTGAGTTACCTTCAGAAATGGAAGGAGGAGACCTACCAAGACACAAAGCTTACTAGCTTGGGTGCTCAGACCCAAGCTAGGTTCTCCCCTGGGCTGTGTTTCGCAGTGGGAATGTATTGACATGGTCAGCACGATCTCAATGTGCTCCACTGAGAAGCATGCATTGGTTTAACCTAGAAGAATACAGGTCAGCAAGACTTTTTCGGTGTGGCTTATGTAAGTACCCCAAGGCTGCAGAATACATGGTTTTCAAATTCCACTGAGCTTTAGATTTTATGTCTTTTTATGTCTTTTTATTTTTGCCTTTTTTCTGGGGGAATATAATGATGCTCACTGTAAAAATCTCTGGTTTTGTGAAAAGAGGTGAGAAGCACAAAGCTCACTTCCAGATAGACATATGTAACAGGCACCGCAGAGGTCCATGGAACTTCTCACACTATTTTGTGTGAAACAACACGCAATAAGCATCAGACCTTCAGCAGGTATACCCTGGTAGGTTTCCAAAGAAAGTGCAAACGGCACTGACAGGGCCAGACAGGGCAATTGTCTAGTTACACATATCATAAGGGATCACGATCAAATAAAACTTGAAGGAGCCAAGCTCAAAACAAACAGAGACAGTCCTTTAGATGACATGTAGCAGCCCTGTAGAATTCCTTGCCAAAGAATGATGAGTGCTAACAGTTTGTATGGTTGCAAAGAGAAACTGAATACGTCAAAAAGAAATCCATTACTAAATATACAGCACCACATTTAGCTCAAGCAGCTCTGGACTAAAAATATTTGGAAGCTAGAAAAAAGCAAGTAGTATCACCCACCCTGCTCTTACTCTTCCTTAGACATGACAAGTCTGGAAATAGGAGAGTGGACCAAACAGATCCTCAGCGGGAACACGGCAGGGGGAGCAGAGGGAAGGGGACACTGGTACCTCCTAAAAGGTCTGTTTCCCTTAGAAGAGCTGATCCTGGCAGGCTGTGTAGTGCAAGTTGGAAGGGAAGCTTATGGGTCCCCATTTTACTGTAACTGAAATTCTGCATAGGATCCAATTCCCTTTACATTTTGGTAATATTTTTTAGTGTAAAGTAGAAGAGAAACAAACACTTACATCTCCCCACTGATAGAAGAGCTTAGCTGCATTCCACTGCAGCTTCTGGTTCCTTTTGTTGCCCACGATAGGAGAACGCCCACGGGACAGGCCTTTCTTAGTAATGTTCACATGGTGGCCCTTCATCCACTCAGGCCAGTTGCCACGATTACAGCGGTGAACGAAGCGTGCGCACTCAAGGAACAGGGCTGCTCTCGCCACTACAGGAGCTTCCTGAAATGTTTGCAGAAAAATCACCTTAAATATAAATACATTGGAAGAACTCTCTAAACATTGAAGGGTTTTGTGCTTTAATCAACCACTTCACAAGTTTGCCATGGAATCACGTAGACTAGGGAAGTCTCCATCAGAGCCTAAAACCAGGATCTCTCCTTGAGTCACACCTCTTGAGCTAATAAAACCAGGCTTATAAACACTGAACAATTACGCTTAGTCCAACCACTAGAGGGGCAGAAAGAGCCACATTATAAACAATGTTGTTTCAGTACCCCTCCATAATCCTTTGTTTCAGAAACCACGTAACTGCCAAAAAGCAGAAGTGTGCATCTGACACTTTTACTGGAGGCAAGAGTCAAGTTTTCTTTTCACCTTCGCTAGTAAGGCTGCAAAGATTGCAAGTGTAAATGGCAGCTTGGCCACATAATTCCTAGCATTTGTCATGTTAAGTTCTGCTTGTGGATCTAGGGGGTGGAAGCATGAATGGAGGCTTGCTGAAACTACTAAGAGTGCTATTTTGCACTTGTAACAAGCAGTTACAGAGAGTGAAATCTGTTACTGGCATAAGTCAACAAAATTTCACTGGCCTAACTTCAATGGCCTTAGCAAGCATCAGACAATTTAGTACCAAAACCTAACATCAGGCAGCTGAGTTTCAGAGGCCTTGACTGTATTCAAGGGGAAAATCTGCCTGCCCCCAGCTTGGAAGAGCACTCCTCTTTAATGGGAGAAGTTATACTGAGTCTATCTCAGTGTGTATTAAATGGCCCAGCAGGATCTATGCTAGACCAATAAGGAGTGCTTCTGAAACTCTCAAATATGTTCAAAAAATGGACACTGTAATTTGTTTCCTAAAGGGTAGCTTAGACTCAGGAAGGAGCTTTCTTCCCAGTAGTCTACAGCTCTGCAAAAATAGCATCTTTACAGATGGAAAGTGAATGAAAGCAATGGTTCTCCTCATTCCAATTTAACTTCCCTCCCTCTTCCTCCAGTTTTCACAAGCAAACTCTCTGTGGCCAGTAGGTTGTAAAACTAACAATGTGTCCACAATTCACAAGCTGGCTTTGAAACATTCCCTAACAGGGATTTCACAGAGCACAAATGTGTATTCCACACATTTAGATGCTGACAGCTTTAATGAGACAATTCAAACAGACCAGTATTTACTTATAAGGGGAGGTCCCTCATTTGTGGTCCATAAACAGACAGGCCTTGAGACTGTGGAAGATGGTCTGCAGTCGGTCTGTGGGACGTTATTAAATAGTGCCTCCAATAGTGCTTTAATCAAAAGATGAAAGCAAGAAATTTTGGACCAATGCTCCAAAAGCTTAGGAACTGATTTAAGAAATTCTGTACTGCAGCTAAACTTACAGCCAGAAATTACTACCATTAAGACTGAAAAAGGTCATGTCTTCTTGGGGACTGGCAAAAAAAAAATAAATTATGTTTTGTCTACATTAACATGATAACATAGGTTAACTGCTTCCTGACACAACATCCTGTTGCAGCCTTTTGGTTGCATTTTATTCAAATGTTAGAAGAAAACAGCAATCTTTTATCAATTCTCTTGAATAAGAACATTAAACCAGTGTTAGTATCACAGAATGGTTTGGGTTGTAAAGGACCTTAAAGATCATCAAATTCCAACCCCCTGCCGTGGGCAGGGACACCTCCCACTAGCCCGGGTTGCTCAAAGCCTCATCCAGCCTGGCCTTGAACCCCTCCAGGGATGGGGCATCCACAGCTTCTCTGGGCAACCTGTGCCAATGCCTCACCACCCTCACAGGAAAAAACTTCTTCCTAATATCTAATCTATATCTACCCTTTCTCAGCTTAAAACTGTTACCCCTTGTCCTGTCACTACATGCTCTTGTAAAAAGTTCCTCTCCAGCTTTATTGTAGGCCCCCTTCAGGTACTGGAAGGC